TCTTCCACGGTGAAGCCGATCTATTCACGCTACTACACAATATAGCTGCAGCGCGACTCTACCACGTATAAACACGTCTATTATAGATATATGTTCTTAAAAGTAGGATAACCATAGATAGTATTTGAAATAACAGCCTATCATCAGATGAGATAATGTTGCCAGTCTTTCAAATGGAGGATGAGCTCAATATAAGTACTTTTGCGATCAACGGTAATAGTTTTACACGTGGTTGAGCCCGGTATTATGAAGCAGGAATAGGTCGGCGACACCGAGAAAGAGTCACGCTCTCAGAATATAATATCAATGTAAAAAGCAGCATAATGCAATTGAGTTGCACAGTGAGTGACGATATTCGACAAATCTACCAGATTTTTTTAAAAGTAGTTTAATTATAATACTAATCGTATTTAAAGTTATTTTCTTTATTAAAAATTAAATATTTTCTCAAGAAATGTTATCGTATCAAAGACGAGAAATAGTTACAGGAAAATGTAAACAACAGAGTTACTTTGCTAAGATTTTATGCGACGGAAGCATATTTTTTTCCACATCCAGAGTTTTGTATAGGTTAAAATTCTGTTGAATTTTTTTTCATGTGAATTAATTCTTAACATAGATAAAATGTTTTTTTAGCTTATATTTTTAACGATCGTTATCGATATATTATATCGTTAACGATTAATATAAAGTTGCGCCCCGGCTTCGCACTGGTGATTTCTGAATCTCGAACAGCGCCATCTATCGGGTCCATTTGTACAATGACACACAACACACAAAAATAAAATCATCAAAATTGGTCCATCCATTTTTGAGTTTTAGCGAAACTTACCGACAACAATTGATTTCTACATAACTAAAGAGATCAATATTTTAAAGACAAAAATGGTTACTGTGAGTCAACCTTAGGAGATAGACATTACCATTTAAGCCCTTAAACCCTCTGAGAGTTTGAATTTTTCAAAACCTTTTTTTAGTTAATGCCTACGTAATAAAAGGAAGCTATATTGTCACAATTTCATGCTTCAACCAACGTTTAGAGGCGTGTGTCATATCAATATTTTTCATATTCATCTTTCATCCTCACTTTAAAGTCGGGTAATTAATTTTCAAATTCATAAAATACATTACTTACTTATTTTTCTCCTTACAAACTTAAACACTTTATACACTTTGTAAGGGGGGTTGTTTCGAAAAATCTCAAAATAATTTTTTAAAATTATCCGTGATATTATATCATTTAAATGAATACTTTAGAAAATAATTTAGATGAAAAAATATGCAGTCCTTATCTACCTATCTTTTGGAGAGATTTAACCTTGTTTCAAAAAATGTCAGGCCCAGAGCGCCGCATGGAAGGGATGAAGTAATCTTCAACTGACCGGATCTGATTTTTTCATCAAAACTTTAATGAAAAATTCATCCCGTTTAATCAACCATCTTTGTTGATTGTTACGAACTGTCTAAAACAAATTTTCATCTTTTCACCTATCTAAAAATTTTGCTCAGATATTCTGTTGGTAAAAGTGATAATTTTTATTTAACGCGTAGTATGCTAAACCTTTTTGTTTCTTTCTTTATCGCACAATATTCCACTGTCCTATAATTTACTAGTGCATTCTATTCAGTAGGGTTCCGTTGCCATACAAGCACAATCCTTATAATTTCGTTTTTCCGTTTGTACCAATACAATGTATAATTTATCATAGATTATCAATAGAATTTATCATCAAAAAAAATTAATTATTAAAAATTATTAAAACATAATTAAAGTTATTATAATTTTATAAACTGATTTCAAAAAATAATGCATATATAAATATATTTACATGTAATTTTCCGGACTTAGTATATCGAGGAATCATCACCATCATTATCTTCATTACAACCCTCACAAGTCTACTACTGAAACTGAGCCTCGCCACAGAAAAGCCGCACTAGATATCATTAGTTGATGTTTTAAAATTAATTATGAATATATCTCTGGGATAAGTAAGGTATGTCTAACAATTAAGCTTTCGAAATATCAAGTTTCATAAATATATTATTATGAGTAGCTATTTTCGTAAGTTGCTTCTATATATATGTATTACGTGGGACGTGGTACGTGGTACGTGGTAGAGCCATGCTGCAAGATATATATTACGGGTGTAGCACAATGGGTAGGCTCTACCGGGGTAGGACCACGACCCTTCAAAACGGTTGCTGGTGTTCATATAGTGTGCAGTATAGTACTGAGCACGGACGTCAGTCTGAGCGAGATTAGAATGGCTCTCCAGCACCTTAAAAACGGCAGGGCCCCAGGCGAGGATGGTATTACAGCGGAGCTTCTGAAAGCGGGTGGAACACCGGTACTTGAAGTCCTTCAGAAGCTCTTCAATTCCGTCCTCCATGGTGGCACTACTCCGGAGGCGTGGAGCAGAAGTGCGGTGGTTTTGTTCTTTAAGAAAGGCGACAACGCTCTCTTGAAGAACTACAGACCGATTTCCCTTCTGAGCCGGGTCTACGTGCTGTTTTCGAGAGTCATTACGAATCGTCTCGCACGCAGACTCGACGACTTCCAGTCCCAACAACGGTTTCCGAAAAGGCTTCAGTACCATAGACCACATACATACCCTGCGGCAGATTGTACAGAAGGCCGAAGAGTACAATCTGCCACTTTGCCTGGCGTATGTGGACTATGAGAAAGCCTTTGATTCCGTCGAAATTTGGGCGGTGCTACAGTCTCTTCAGCGGTGTCAAGTTGACTGTCGGTATATCGAAGTGCTGAACTGTCTGTACTTCTGGTAGGGCTACGATGGCTATCCGAGTACAGTACCAGAGTTCGAATCCTATCCAACTGCTTATATCCCCGAAACTCTTCACCGCAGCGTTGGAAGACGTTTTCAAGCTACTGGACTGGAAAGGATACGGTATTAACATCAATGGCGAGTACATCACTCACCTTCGATTTGCCGATGATATAGATGCAGAATCCCTGGAGACCTTAGCACTATGCTCAATGACCTCAATGGTGTCACCCAACGGATAGGTCTTAAGATGAACATGGACAAAACAAAGATCATGTTTAATGTCCATGTCACACCTATGCCGGTAGTTGTTGGGAGCACTATGCTCGAAGTTGTTGACGAGTACGTTTACCTGGGCAATCGACAACCAACATACGTACAAAAAAAAAAGTTGAAAACAAATAGTCCGACTAGGTAAGTCCAACTTCGACCGAGAGGTCAATCGACGGATTCAACACGGCTGGGCAGCGATCGGGAAATTACGACACATCTTCTCGTCAGGTATACCTCAATCTCTGAAAACTAAAGTGTACAACCAGTGCGTGTTGCCAGTGATGACTTACGGATCGGAGAGACGTGGTCCTTCACTGCTGGCCGTGTGAGGACGCTCAAGGTTGCTCAGCGAGCTATGGAGAGGGCTATGCTCGGAGTTTCTCTGCGTGATAGACTCAGAAATGAGGATATCCGCAGTAAAACCAGAGTGATCGACATAGCCCAACGGATTAGTAAGCTGAAGTGGCAATGGGCCGGCCATATAGCTCGAAGAACCGATAACCGATGGGGAAGAAAGGTTCTCGAGTGGCAGCCTCGTACCGGTAAGTGGCAAGCTCAGGACCGTGCTTTGTGGCATTGCTAGGGGGAGGCCTATGTTCAGCAGTGGACTGTGAAGGGCTGTAATGATGATGATAGTACTGAGCATGACGTAGACTGTTAACTCCTTTGTCACTATAGTTTTATGAAAAAAAAAACAAAGCCGATTGTGATTTTTTTTCACAACACTGTAAGTCAAGAAAGCCATGTTAGTTCTGTACGGTTACATTAAAATTATACCATTAGCTACTATCAATAATTATATAAAACAAAACCTTCTCGTGATTACAATAATTCCACCCTTAACCATTAAAAAAGGGGGATATAGTAATTAAAACGACATTCCTTAGACCTCTCAAAAGGTTCAAAACTTAGGTTTATGGTAAAAAGAAAAGCCATATTCAAAAATTTTAAAAGAATTTTGTCTTTATTTGTCAGTTCCGTGACGTGACGCGAATGAGTTGCGGTGCGTAAAATTTTGAAACTCACCTGCGCCTGGTAAGTAGTAAGCCTGACCCGATCTAGGAAGGTAGGATTTTCTAGCTCGTGGTCAATATCAAAGGATTGACTTGGTCTAATGTCATAAAGGAGGACATAACAGACGGCAAAGTTTCCTTAGACAACGTGAACTTATTAATTTTTTTTCATTCATTGACACATCGCGGCACGTACCGTTTAACTCTATCTGGTAAATTATTGAGTTAGAAAGTAGATCCCAGTGAAGGTAAAAATTAATGCTTTATACACACGTATTTTAGTAAATATATTGATAGATTAAAATTAACTATTAATTTTTTTCTGAAAAATACTAGAATTTTTCTAATAAATTGCTTTTAATGCCCCATCTGCTTAAACTTAATTTAGTCGTAGAGAACTAATAATAGAACTAACATAATTTAATGTTAAATTTTTTTATGTTTTTCAGCATAAGCATTTCCATATTATTCAAATGTTTATTAATATATTGTATTTGGTGTTGTGACTTTTATAAATTGAGTTTTATTGGCTTTTAAAAAAGGCAAATTATTGACCTAGAGTTATTGACGTCCGTTATTTGGTTGGTCTGATGTGTGTAAACACGAATACAGGTGCCCGACGCAATTAAATTACCTTATACTCTTGCCTATTACATTTTGTTTATGCTTCGAGTCAAGCCTATGAAAATTAGTTATTGAAAACAGGCATTGAACTATGTATATATAAGTATTGTTCCCACGGGATACCCATATAAATAACACTCTTAAGTGTGAATTTTTTATTATAGTCTAACTTGTTTTTATTTGTTTCAGATTACTTGAACCAGAGGCACGCAATCACAGGAAAAACGCGATATATTAAATTTTAAGAAAATAATATAACAAAAAAACGAGAAAGCGCCTTCAGTCTACAATCAATTATTTTTTAACATATAATTATAATTAGGATTTTGCTAGTAAACAAGAAGCCAAGACTGTGAAGCTCGTGAGTGTGGCACTGCGAGTAGTGTATCGTTAGTTTGTAGCGCGTGTACCGCGTAGTATCGTGTGTAGCGCGTGCGGCGCGGTCGTGACGCGTGTGTAGCGTTCGATGCGTGCGGGCGTCGTCGCGCGCGTCGGCCAGTAGAGGGCGTTGCTCGCGCAGCCGACAAGATTGAAGTGGTGGCCGGGTGCGGGTGGGGTAGGCGCGCGCGCGTGCGGCCGCTGCACGCGCTAGGCCGCGCGGCCGGCATGTTGGCCTCGCAGCGTTCGCAGTCGTGCAACGAGGAGGGCGCGTTTTTCGGGGCGCGTGCGCTACGCCGGCCGCGTGGCAAGGGTAGCGGCAGCCCGCCTTGCTAGGGGTACGCCATGTCGCTGCGCAGCCTACACCGGAGGCTCTCCTCCGCCAACAACACGTGAGTATTGATGCCTGCATGATTTTCGCTTTTATGTACTTAGATGCAACAGCGTTGGTATGGACGAAAGCGATTTGTGAACACTAAGTATAAACCGTGAATTGGTTGATATTCATACTTGGCCAGATCTTCTCTCTACAAAGGAAATGCTTGGCAACGCAACCTTAGGTTTTTGGCAACTATATTCTGGTTATTCTAGTTCAGTTTAAAGAAATGGTAAATTTAATTCATATCCATATCAAGATTTGTAGTCAGAAGTGTTTGAGATATTTATATTGTTAATTTTTAAGAATTGCTCATGAAATTGCAACGAGTTCGTCATGACGCACTAATAGTATTTTTTTTACTAAACTTTTTTTTTTAACAGCCACATTTATTAAACATTATGTCAAAAATACTGGACGAGTCATCACCTCACAGAATAGTCATTTTTAATCTGACACACAATTAGCATCTTAAAATCGGCATGTTAATGTTATCATTGATTATGAAATACGAGTAAATAGAATACAATGAGTACGAAAACACGCTAGGCATTACCGTAGCTTTACTAACGTTGCCTTTGTATCCTCATCGATTTTGTTTGATTATTAGAATTAAAATATTGGTTAACCTGTAGTGTTATGTCAAAGGCTCAGTTATTAATGAACGTACCCACTAGTAGGGTCTTGTGACAGCGTATAGAGGTCACACCGCAAAACAGAATTACGACCGCATATAATTTATTTTTGGCTGCGTAATATGGGTACGGCGCTTCATACAATACATCATTTAAAGCTTACTGTTTTGCTTGTACATATGTATAAGAGTGATTACCTGCGATGTTACGTTTGTGCGCTGGGGTGTAAAGGGGAATTTACAATACATTATATGTAATGTAAATAGCCAATTACATTTATTATTTCAATTAAATCTTTGCCATTAATTAAAAATGCACCACAACCGACTTCGACATCTTAGACTATTCCAGAACTTTCCGTAAAGCAAAAAAGCAAATCGAGTTTATATGAGTTTTTTATTGCTTCCATTACCGCTGACCTCGTTTCCTTCAAGTACCCAAGTTGCAAGTTTACTGTAACTCAATATCGCTTTGACCGTTATACAACAGATACGAACCAAATGTCGTTCCGGAAAAGCTATATCATGTACGATCTGATTATAGGTAAGTTAATTTTAGTTTAGCTCAAGACTTAGCATTTATGTATATATAGGTACTGTACAAAAGTCCTCTCGATAATTACGTTTTTATATCCAATTTTGCTATAATTTGCTGATATTTATATTATGTGCGATGTCTGTAAATATCACGTACTTTGGCAATTATTTAATACCATAATTATTAAGTTTGTAAATAGTAATATCGGCATTCACAACTTATTACAATATTAAGTTATTAACTTGCAAAGATAGCGTCTTCTGATAATTTGGACTCACTTAATCTTTTTGTAGCGGTACGTGCCAGTATTGAATCGTTTGTAATCGTCCATCATATTTACTACTTTACTCATAATATCTTAATTCTGCTTAACTTTTATTTATATACCGGCTAACTTTTTACCTTGTAGTGGCAGTGTAAATATGTCTTATTGCCACAAATCATTTCGTGGGTGTCGTAAGAGGTGAGAAAGGGAAACAAATCAAGTGATGGGCTACAGTGTCTTCCTAATAAAGACTAAAAAAAATGAGTGTGCTTATGACCACACGACTGAAGTAAAACTTTTTTAGCTCCATCTTATGTATATATATGTGTGTAATATATACATGTATATACATATATTAAAATTCTACAAATATTTAAGTTTATTATCGACTTCCTTACATAATTTGTTATTATTCGCCCGAAAATTCACAAAACATGAACTTTAAAATGAATTTACAATTTATAATTCACTTTAAAAGTAGAATATTTAATGTATTGAACATAAATATTAATCCATAAAATTGTTCAAAACGATATAAAATTACAAAAATAACTGACTATGAGAGAATGAGAGAAAGAAAATGTGCGCGTACACTGCTCTCTCTTGCTTATATCCCCCACTCAACTCCCGTTCGCCTCGCCCGATCACGCTTTTCGTAACGCTTTCGTCACGCATTTGCCAGCTTACTCCCCAAGTCAAGGTGCGTAAAGAAGTTTTACTTACAAAACTGCGGTTGCCAACCCGCTAGCCAAGCATGGCAACTTTAGCAAGTATCCCCCCCTCTATGAGGCAATCTATTTGGGAGGCCTATATTCAGCGTAGTTAGATTGTGTTTCAGCGGTGGACTTAAATATGCTTAACGAGGAAAAAATTGGTTGTAATAGGTAAACAACTCCTATGACGTAAATATTTTTAAAATATAAAAATTTTTTCATTAACATCTTATAACATTAATCTATCTATCAATAAATATTATTATTTGGGGTAATTTTTTTTGTGTTTCATGGTTATGAGCGTACAAATTCATTGATACTTGCCACGTGTAATGTAGGATTGCACAGGATTTTTAATATTGTTATTTTAAATCGCTTTATTTATTTATTCAAATGAAGAGGCTTACTTCACTAACCTTTCTATCCCATTTTTCCTACACGAAAAAAAGTCAGCCATATAAATGTTATTTTTTACAGTATAAGGGTGATAAACGAGCACACAGTCCACTTGATGGTAAGTGGATGGTGTGGCCTATAGAAATCTACATTAATCTTCGGTTAAGAATTAAAATACAGATTCGTCGTATCCCCTGAGTACTAAGATGGAATACCTAGTTTTTAGTGAAAAGGGTCTCCGGTTCTCTATACTCACCATAAGAAACACGGCAGCCTTAAGCTGCTATTTTAAGAAGGTATTCTGTGAGATTTTATTATACATTTTGTTTATCATGCTCATTAGTGATGTAAACGTACAAAGCATAGCACATCGCATGCTATTGTTGTTTGTATTGTATGTTTTTATACGTGGCACAGCCACGCTGCAGCAATTTATGGTTGTAGTACGAATAGGTAGGCTATACCGGGGAAGGACCACGCTCGCACAGAATACCAGCGTAAAATAACAGCTTAATACTGCTGTGTTTCGTATAATGAGTGTAGAGATCCGGAGACCCTTTTTTTACTGGAGGTGAAGCATTCCATCGAGTCCTCAGGGGACGGAATGGGATGCCGTCACCACCTTCTGCGAAGCAGTGATGCTAGCGAAGGAGGTGGCGGAGCGGGAGAAGGAGAGAGCAGCAGCTTTCCTCCCCGGCCGCCGCGGGGGACACCCCGGGCGTCGGGGGGCTACGTCGTGGCCCCCGGCCACCGTAGGCGCGGGCCTGTGGACGGCGAGCAATGGGTAGCTCGCCGTCCGTCCGTCTAACGACGACAGGCCGTGTTGACGGCGCGTTTTGTTCCACGCGCGCCTCAAAGAGCTGTCAGCAGCGTGAAGGGGCCCGCAAGGGCCGACGCCTGCCGGGGCTGCGGGCTGTTCGAAAGAGATACCGCGGCTCCGGAACGTAAGGGCACTGAAGGAACACGGATGGTTTTTAGTCAGTAAAAGTCTGACACTCCCTTACGCTCCACCCAGAGCGAAAGGCGTCATTAGATGAGTTTCCATCCGCAAAAAAAAAGGGGTGACAACGCATACTGAATTTTTATGTTTAGTTAGGTTTAGTTTTTCATGAACTGTTTATTTTAGGGACTCTCGTAAAAAAATAAAAAACATAAACAAAATATAATCGGTGATATTTTGTTTTTGTGCATTCGTCAAAATACGTTGATCATATCTTAAATATAATCTTGATATTATATATAAAGGATAATGAAGAATAATCGTATAATATAAAATAATAATTTTGACCACAATGTATTTTTTTTATTCTGTATAGATTTCAAGTGGATGCTATGTCCATCGCGTCTATCATTTTATAATGTTCAAGTGCAGATCGAAAAAAAAACAACAATTATTATTGTAAATGACGAGTATTACACGTATTTTTAGTAAGTATTTAACACATGTTTTAAATAGTTACTGAGCAAGTAGTTAATTTGATTAAAACTACTTTTACGGATTTTATCGCGTTTATTTTTACTTTTTATTTTAAAATAAACACGATAAAATCCGTAAAAGTAGTTTTAATCATGTATAGTTTTCGCGTAAATATAAGAAATCATTAAGTAATTAATTTATCATTATCAGTATGTCAATACTAGAAAATACTGATTCACAAGTAAAATTATAGGGAAATCGATATTTTATTACAAAACGTCGCTATAGTCATTACTAAACAGGCCAATTTTTAAAAACACTGGACGTGCATGGGTTAAATGTGGTTACTTTTACCTTTAATTATAGAATGCTTTGCACGTAGGTAATAGGCGCGAAATATGATTAAACTAAGCATTTGTATTTCTACAGAAAACACGGAGGAGGTACTCAAGTCGACGCGTATATTTTTTTATGTATGACCAACGCATGACTTTTTACAGAATAGTCCGATTTTGATAAATCTATTTGTATTGGATAGGGTATACCTCGACATTGGTAAGTATAAATTTAAAAAAATTACCTTAAGGGTGCTAAAATAGGGGTGATTTATGGTTTACTCACAGATTTTAACGCTGAGTTGTGTATTACAACATTACATAATAATGACATTACTATGTAATGTTATTACATTACATAGTAATGTCATTATTACAAAACCTGACGATGAACGAGCTTCAGACCTGTCAGTCTCTTGTGTGTAGACCTCTCAGTCTCTGCATTTCTGATAAAGCTCGTTCATGGTGAGGTTTGTGTAATACTTCATTGGCTCTAGATTAGATAAAGCAATACCCTCAAGTGTTTTTACTCTAGTATACTATGTAATGTTATTACCTGTCAGTCTCTTGTGTGTAGACCTCTCAGTCTCTTCATTTCTGATAAAGCTCGTTCATCGTGAGGTTTGTGTAATACTCCATTGGCTCTAGATCAGATAAAGCAATACCCTCAAGTGTTTTTACTCTAGTATACTATGTAATGTTATTGCCTGTCAGTCTCTTGTGTGTAGACCTCTCAGT